CCGCGTGATTTTTTTTCCGGGTGCCCTCCGGATTTTTCCGCGCGCGTTTTTTCGATGCGCGCGCCCAAGGAAAAATCCACCAAGAATTCGGAGAGGTATTCAAAACGAGTTTTCGTTTTTCTCCCCGAAGTTTTCACTAGGCCGCGCGCGGAGCCTGGAAGGAGGGAGGGGGGGGGGGGGGGGAGTCGCAGGGAGTGGGCGGGGCACGCCGCAGGAGAGGGCCGGAGGGGGACAGGAATCCCCGCGCCCCTTCAAGCGTGAGCGGCGTGGCGAAGTAATTCACCCAAGCCCACTCTTCCCCTTCATGGACACGGTTCCCCATTTCCCCGCCCAATCCATCATGCGCGGGAAGGTAGCCGCGGGTCGTTGGAGCGCCCAACGCGGCCCAAAATGTATCCGAGATGGCTGCAAGGAGCCCAAATGCGCCCGATTCCGAATAGCCTCCAACGTGCCTCTGAGAGTCGTCAAGACCGCTTCAAGACGGCCCCGCGTGCCCCTCGAGCTCTCCAAGGAGGCCTCCAAGACAAAAAAAGTGAAAACCATTGCGTGCTATGTGTTATGTCTCGTCGCCTTTTCGTTTTCCATGGGCTCTTGAGGCCTCGAGATGGCCGCGCCGGCCTGAGATGGCCCTCCAGAAGAACCCGACAGGCCCCAAGACGGCGCCGAGAGCGCTCGAGAGCAGCCGAAGAACGCCCCAAGAGAGCGCCAAGAGGCGACGTGGGCGGCTCCAGAGAGGGGGCGCTGCAAGGACCCCCCCCCCCCGTACTCTTTGACTGACGGCCTTTCCAAGATGGCCCCGAGAGGGCCCCCAAGGCCTCCAAGACGGGCCCACGAGACCCCGAAGAGGATCCCAAGGAGGCCCGAAACAGCCTCAAGAGGACCCCGTAGGCTCTCCCAGAATGGCTCCAAATTAGCTCCACAATGGCCCACAAATCACCCCAATGGGGCTTCTAACAAGAGACGTGTGCGAAAAAAAAAACAACATCCTCCATGATTGATTCTGGCCGCCGTCGTGGCTTTTTCTCCCCCATCCTTCCTTGTCCTACTCCTCGTCCTCATCCCGCCCCTCCTCCGTTTCCTCGTCATCCTCCTCCTTGTCCTCCTTCCCTGCTGCTGTTAATCCTCCGATTCCTCCTGCGCCGCCCTCGCGTTTCTAACGTAAACAGCGTCGCCCTCTTGGCTGAGCACCATGCTGGCACGCGTTTCTGACAACACAAATTGCCTGGGCACCGTCTCTGGAACTGCTTCGTCCTGAGTGTTCTTACCCCCATGTCCTCCTACCTCCCCCATGCTCCCCCCACCTCCCCATCCGGCACATTCCTACATCCTCGTTTACCAAAGGATGCGGCGCACTGGTGTTCTGCGCGGATCACCAATGCGGCTGCCACCTCCCCCTGGCCCCTCGTACCCCCCCCCCCCTCTCAGGTCCCCCATCATCCTTCCGACCTTCTCATGCTCTGGCATGTTCCTGTTTCCCCCAGCGCGCGTCCATCCTTTTGCTGTTCCTCTTCTTTCGTTACTACTGGTCCTTCGCCACCATATTTGTTCCTTCGCTTCCTCCGCCTCCTCTTCCTCCTCCCGCACAGAACCAGTGAAAACACATTCGGTTCGCTGCGGCGCCGCGTGCTGCTACACATGCTGATCGAGGCAACTCGCCTGGTGATTGCTTTTGCCTTGGCTGGCGGAAATACGCGAGGCGTCGGAGATGAAGGCAAAAAGGCGGATGAACAGTAGAATCCCGCGGACCACGGCCGAAACGCGCCAGAACATATGTGAGGAGACAGGTCTGCAAGTTGCTTTGGACCCCTACAAAGCCTGTCTTGGGACCCTAGGGCCTGCTTGCAATCGTTCTCGGGGAGCTCACTTGCAGCTTTCCCGGCGCCCTGTTGGATCTTGCCGCAGGCCCTGGCAAAAGAAGATGACAGCGGGAGGGAAATGAAGAGAAAAACAATGCAGGCAAGAGGAATAAGATAAATGAATACGATGAGGAAGAATCAAGGGCACGGAAGACATTCGAAATTCGCTGGCCACGCGGCATTCACACGAACGCCCGAGCCACATGATCGATTGACGTGCGCATATCAGAAAAAAAGGAAAATAACAATGAAAAGCGAAGACGCAAATCCACGCCGAATTCACTCTTAGCACCGGCGAAACCAAGGCATCGTTTTCGCACTCTCAGGCCTGCGCGCGGCACGGCACGACACGGCACGGCACGCACGACACGTGGGCACGGGACGGCACGGCACGCAGGCGGCACCTCTTTCGCCCTGCAGGAAGGAGGTACTGCACAGCACGGCACGCGTCGCATGGCACGCGGGCACGGCACAGTGGCACGGCACGGCACGCGTGCAGCAACTTCCTCGCACTCCAGAACCTAGGCAAGGCACAACACAGAATGTACGGCGAGCGGACACGGCACGGCCCTTTTTCGAATTCCGGATGCTACACTGGCAAAGAGACCCTAAGCACCAAGGCTGCATGATACGACATATGTTCGGAACGGAACGGCAAGACAACGCAACGGTACTGCGCGGCACGCGACCACAGAAAGGCACGGTGCCGGCAAGCTTGACGCAGTCCATAACCTAGTCACGGCACCGCACGCGGCAACGCTACGCATTTGGAACTTTTATATCGCCTACCTTCCCAGAAGCGGGACCCCTTGCAGCTTTCGCTGCTCGGGCAGCAAATCACGGCACGGCACACGAGCACGCCACGAGACACGGGCGGTCCCCTTTTCGCACTTGACAGACTGAGCACGGTTCGGCACGGAGCCACGGCACGGCACGGCACGGGGCGAGCGGAGTCTGTCGCACTCTGGATGAAACGACTGCCTTCTCAACAGCAGCAGAATTCGCACCCCTTACAGCACTCGCTGTTCATAGAGACACTGAACCAATGCTACACCTAGATGGTCTTAGATCTGTTCTAAATAACTGGGCCCCGGTATCGGATCCACCGCCTTGTTGTCGCCGTCGCCGCCCCGTCGCCACCTCGTCGCTACCCGTCGTCTGGGCCCCTTTGTCGGGTCCGCCGCCCTGTTATCGCTGTCGCCGCCCCGTCGCCGCCTCGTCGCCGCCCGTCGTCTGGGCCAGCTTGTCGGGTCCGCCACCTTGTCGCCGTCGCCGCCCCGTCGCCGCATCATCGCCCGCCCGTCGTCTGGGCCCCGGTGTCGGGTCCGCCGCCTCGTTGTCGCCATCGCCGCCCTCTCGCCACCGTCTGGGCCCCCTTGTCGGGTCCGCCGCCTTGCTGTTGCCGTCGCCGCCCCGTCGCCGCTTCGTCGCCGTCCATGGTCTGGGCCCCAGTATCGGGTCCGCTGCCTAATTGTCGCCGTCGCCGCCATGTCGCTGCCTTGTCGCCGCCCGTCGTCTGGGCCCCGGTGCCAGTCCGCCGCCTTGGTGTCGTCGTCGCCGGCCCGTCGCCGCCTCGTCACCGTCCGTCGTCTGGGCGTTCTCTGGCTCTGCAATGCGTTGCGCTGCATTGCTGTGCGTTACTTGGTTCCTTACATTGCTTAGAATTGCCTTGAATTGTTGCGCGCTGCTTGCATTGTGCTATATTGCTCTGCAGTGCGTGGCATTGCTCTGCATTGCTTTGCATGGTTTTGCATTGCTTCACACTGCCCTACACCGATTGAATCAGATAGCTTGCACCACCTAAATTGCACCAGATCGATTGCACCAGCCAGTTTGCACCGCATCGATTGAAAAGGACACACTGCTAGCTCCCGCTCCCGTCCCTCCTCTTGTTCATTGGCCCGACACCATGCGCCAAAGCTCCGAGGCCGCTCCTGGCCCCCACACAGCGGCGGGCGCAGCGGCGCCGCAGAAGCAAGGGCAGGCAAAACAAAGATAGAAGTCGCGCCCTTGACCCAAGAACAGCAGCAGGCAGGCGGCGTGCGCACGCGGCAGAGACCCGAGGAGGGCAGGCGGGGAGTCTAACTTTGCTTCACCTTCATGAGTCCGAGTTTGGGATCCACGCTGCCTAACATCTGGGTGAAAGGAAAACCCCGAACAGCATTCACTGTTTAGGAACATGCTTAGATTGGGGGGTGCATGGCACCATATGCTTGTATAACAAATTCTCACGTCGGGACGATGTTGGGAGCACAACCAGCCAGCACGTGAATGCCGAGAGGGAGGAAGGGATGGAAGGAGAAGACTGAGCAGAAAGGGAGGGAGGAAGGGGGATCAGGAGGGAAAGGATTAATAATTAAGGGGGAGGAAGATGACAGTAGGGAGGAGCATGGGGAAGGGAAGGCGGCGGAGGCGGAGAACGAGAAGAGGACCAGGAGGGGTAGTAGGAGGAACAGGGAGGGATAATGGAACAGAAGAAGAGTAAGAGGAGGACGAGGGGGAAGTGGCGGAGGAAGGAGAATAAATATGAGAGGAAGACGATGAGGGGGAGGAAACCGGTAGTGGACGAGGAGGAGGAGGAGTGGAAGGAGTAGGAGAAGGAGTGGAAGGATGGGGCAAGGGGAGCAGTAGGAGCAGTCGGAGCAGGAAGAGGATGATTCAGCCGAAGTGCTGTCAGAAGGAAACAGCGTCTGACGGGGGAGGGGGGATACAGGAGGGAGGAACTTGGAAGGAGGAAGAAGACGGGGGAGGTGGAAGAGGAGACGGAGAATGAGGAAGAGGAAGAAGAGGAGGATGAGGAGTAAGAGAAGGGAAGGATGGGAGGGAGGAGGTTTCAATCAAGGTGATGCCAAAAAAAAGAGGCCGAGGAGGATACTGAGGAGGAGGGAGGGGAGCACGGAGGGGGGGGGGAAATTTCAACCAATGCGCTGTCAGGAGGATGCGGCTGAAGTGAAAAACGAGAGAGGCGATGAGAGAGGGAGGAGAAAGGGGATGCGGACGAGGATGAGGAAGAGGGGGATGCGGATAAGGGGGAGACGGAGTGGAGGAGGAAGAGCAAGATGGTGATGCTGATGATGTTGATGATGATGATGATGATGCTCATGCTGATGCTGATGATGCTGATGCTGATCATGACGATGTATTTTGTTGCTGGCGGCCACGTAGTACGCGGCCTGAGCCGCCGTCTGGCATCGTGGAGTCGGTGCTGGACGGACAGGGCGGCAAGCGACACGGCCGTGCGAAACCTTTACGAGAGTCCGACACTCGGTCTCGTAGCGCCCGGACAAACACACACCAGGGCACTCCAGATCCCGGCGCACCTACGCAGCTGCGGCCTACGGCAAGCACTCCTTGTATGGCCTAGGCGAGCCAGCTTATTGGAAAATACCAGTGGCTCCGCCTCCTCCTCCTCCTCCTCCTCCTCCTCCTCCCTCTCCTCTCCTTGCACCTCCTGCAGCTCCTACACACGCACATCCAGCTCCCTCACCCCTCCTCGTCACTCCGAGTGGGTCCAAAAATGATGGCACCCGTCCACAGGATGCGCTCACTTCTTCTTGCCGCCGGCACCGCCCTCCTCCTTGCGCTCGCAGGAGATGACCTTGCCGAGCATCACAACACCGTTGCCGTCCATGAAAGCCACGCGCGACAGGCCCTCGCAGTTCTTGAAGGTGTCGCACACGAGCGGCTGCTGCGGCTGGAAGCTGCACTGAGCCATCTCGTTGGACTTGAGCGAGTGGGGATCCTCCATCTTCTTGCCGCCCGTCTCCTTACCCATCTTCCACTTCAGCTTGCTGATGCGGCACGCCGCGCGCCCGCAGCGCACGAAGCCGATCGGGGAGTAGCCGACCTTGATCTCGTTGGGGATGTCCAGCACCTGGATCTGCGCGTCGAACTCCTTCGTCTGACCCAGGGTGGTGTCCTTCTTGTACACCATCACGTCGCCCGAGCGGGGCATGTTGTTCTTGTCCAGGCCCTTGATGTTGAGGCCCACGTTGTCACCAGGGTTGGCGAAGTCGACGCGCTGGTGGTGCATCTCCACGGTGAACACCTTGCCCGTGCACGGGTTCGAAGCGGTATGCGTGGGCAAGAACACGACCTCCTCGCCTGGCTTCACGACGCCCTGCTCCACACGCCCGGCGAGCACATCGCCGACACCCTTGATCTTGTAGATGCCGGAGATCGGCATGCGCATTGGGGCGCTGGTGGGCCTCTCTGGTACGCGGCACATGACGTCAAGCACGTCGTACACGGTGTCCACGTGGATGGTCTCCTTGCCGTACTCGACGTCGCAGCCCTTCCACCAGCCCATGTTGTCGGACTTCTTCAGCAGGTTGTCGCCCATCCAGCCAGAGATAGGCATTACAGGCGTACCTTTCTCGACGAAGTCCTTCTTCCACCCGACCTTGACCAGCATGCTCTTCATCTCGTTGGCGATCTCGTCGTAGCGGGACTGCTTGTATCCAGCAGTGTCGCAGTCCATCTTGTTGACGCCAATGCAGATCTGCTTCACGCCAAGCAAATTGATCAGGCGGGAATGCTGGCGAGTCTGCCCCTGGATCTCGCCAGCCTTGTGGTTGCCTTTGGCGATGGCGGTCGTGAAGTTACCGTCGGCCGGGACCATGATGAGCGCAACGTCCGCCTGAGAAGCCCCTGTGATCATGTTCTTGATGAAGTCGCGATGGCCTGGGGCATCGATGACGGTGTAGTGCCACTTCTCGGTGTAGAACTCCTTGGTGGTGCAAGCGATGGTCACGCCGCGCTCGCGCTCTTCCTTCTGGCGGTCCATGTAGAACGCGAAGGCGAAGGAGCCCTTGCCCAGGCGCTCGGCCTCCGCCTTCAGCTTCTCGAGCTCGCGCTCGGGCAGCCCGCCCAGCTCGAAAATGAGGCGGCCCGTGGTGGTGCTCTTGCCACTGTCGACGTGGCCGCAGATCACGATGGACAGGTGTTCCTTCTCGGAGTTGGCCGGCATGGCTGGCCGACTGAGTGCACCACTGCTCTCGACGGAGTGAGCCGAGATGCGCCCTTGGCCCAGCCTGACTAAAGCTAAGGGTGTGCGCCAAAACGGCTACGGACAGGATGATGACGATGGTCATGATGATGATGATGATGGTGATGATGATGGTGGGTGGGATGATGGTAAAGAATCATGCCGTCGATGGTGCAGATTATGATGAAGATGGTGATGATGATGACGATGCTGATGATGGTAGAGATGATGGGATGGTGATGATGCAGGTGATATTACTGATGAGGCTGATCGTGATGACACGGATGGTGATGATGATGATGCTGCTGACGATGATAATGGTTATGATAGGGACGGTGGTACGGATAATGATAATGATAATGATAATGATGCTGATGAGTATCATGACGATGATGATGAGAATGCTCATGATGCTGAACAATAAGATGCGCGTCAGAACGGCTACGGACAGGATGATGACGATGGTGAGGATGACGATGATGATGATGGTGGTGGTGATGATGATCCTGTTGTTGTTGGTGATGATGGTGCTGATGATGGTGATAATGATGATACTGCTGCTGACAAAAGTGATGGCACATATGATGCTGCTGCTGATTATGATAGTAATGCTGATGGGAATGGTGAGTATGATGAGGGTAAATGTGATGATTGCGATGCTGATCGTGATGGCACTGATGATGGTGATTATTTGAACGCTGATGATGATAATGATAATGGTTATGATGAGGACGGTGGTACTGACATTGGAAATGAGTGCTAATGATGCTGATGCTGATCATGCTGACTGTTCCATTCACATATGGAATTCTCTAACGGCCTTAATAATCGCAAATGGCAAGGACAAGTTGATTGCCCGCATGTCTGTGCGAAAGAAACTATCAACACCCAACCATGCACATTTACAACGACGAACTCTTCATAAAGAAATCGAAGAAGAGGAGCGCAGAGAACCCGCGGAAACTTGCGACCGAGGCGTACCATACCCAGACGGTATCGGCCTGCTGCGTCTCGTCTTCGGCATCAGTCTGGGTCGCCGTGCGTCTCCGTGTGTTCTCTTGCTGCTACAACGTAGCTCGTGCAGCGTCAGGCGCACGATATCAGGATCGTCGCCCTGGAATATGATGCTGCACTTGGCTGACAGGCTCGCCCGGCAGCAATGATGGAAGCGAAAAGCAAGCCACTTCATGCATTGAGGGGGCTCACCATCACCATCCAAGGCTACGGCATCGGCGACCCACTGATCGAACTTTTCAAAGTCGCCACACACGAAGACGTCACGCATAAAGACATCGCATTCTGGAGCGCACTTGTTTGTTGTGTAAAAAAGGCCTCGAATGCTGGGCTGCAAGACGTGATTGGCAAATCCCCAACATCGCCCCGCTGCGCGAAAGCATTGAACGACACGTGGATCTCAGTCTCAGTGGCCTCGGTGGAGTCTTCGATGTCCTGACTGATGCCGCTCGATTCAGACGAAGGGGATTCCGAGTTGGAGTCGTTGCAAGTCTTTGCGATGGAAGAGTCAACGAAGTCTGACCTAACTCCAGAACGGGATTGGAGAAATTCTTCCTCTTCTTGCACCTCCTTGATGCCGAGTGCGTGGGCGCGATCACCCACCGCCCCCAAACGTGCATGGGTAATCTGGGCGCGGACAAGAAATCCCGCTGCGCCCCGAGGAGCCACGGAGATGCCCGCGCGGCCTTCCCGGTCGGCATCATCTTCGGCAGCGCCGGCGAGTAGATCCGAAAGCTTAGCACTTTCACTTTCCGGCGCGAGATCTGCGAACACCCTGCCCACTAAAACTTGCGGGGCACGTTCGTGCATCAGGGGGGGTCCGAGCTCATCTGCACCCCGACCAATCTCAAGCCGCGGCCCCAAGAAGACGCACGCATCGCACGTCCTAGAGAGAAGCCGCTCGATGACAGACAAACTCATGGCGCCCGCTTCGCCAGACTTCAACCTCGCAAAAGCCCCATATGTAGCCTCAAAATCCAACAGAAAACAGCGTGCGTCCCGAACCTCCAAAAGGCTTCCTCGAGCGCGTCCAAGTCGGAACATTTCAACCAAACAATTATAATGGGGCCAGCCAGCAATCATGCGCTCAATCTAGCGCTGCAACAAAGTAGCGCTTGTCCACCCTGGACGGTCAGGATCAAATGCCCCGTTGGGCGCGCAGGAACGCTTTCTGACAACCAGACAAACATTGTAAAATACACACAACAACTGAACGCAGCTTTCATCCTATCTAACCGCGACGACGATTTTGATTTCGGCACCGCGACCACTGGCACCATCGCAGAAACAGCAATGTGCAATGGGATCAAACTTCCGTACTGCAGCCATACTTGGTTCCAAAATCTACTCCTGTCCGACGCGGTGTCGTCCTCGACGGTCTTGATGCCAGACACCATCGCGGCTAGACTGAAAATCGCCATTGCGAAAATCAAGGACAGTCCGAATGTGCACAGGAACTTCGCTCGTAGCTCATTCTGGATGTTCTGGACATTCCTCTCCTTACGATTCTGGCCGCGAGCCATTGCGCCCCTCTCGCCGGTGCAAACACACGCCCAGGAACGGAGAGCAACGCAAATTCCACGCAACCTGGGCAGCCTGTACTTCAACATCAGGACCAACGAGGAAACGGGCAAAACACAATGCACACTGCTCAACAAATATTGAATCGCGCCGATCGCGGCGCCATCCGTTGCAGAACGCAACGCGCGATGACACCGATCGCCCTTAGTGCTCTGGACGCGCGTGCGTGGGGGCACCGAACGCGCATTGAATGAGTTGGCAGAGGCGCTTTGAAGACAACGAGGATTGGGCCAAAATCCGTTGACCCCAGAGGCGTGCGAGGGAAAGCGCAATCATAACCATCAATCTTGAGCTTCTCCTACGATTTCTCGCCCCACCTCAATGACCCCCCCCCCCCCCCTCGCCCCAGCATCCCCACCTCGCGGGGCCGCTGTTCTCGAGACCTCCTACCGCGCGATTTCTCGCCCAACACCGACCGACCCCCCCCCCATGGCCCCTTCTTCGCCGCCCCCTTCGCCCCCCTCCTCGGCCCCGCACCCCCGCCCCAAACCGACCGACGCCCCCCTCCTGGCCCTCCTCCTCGCACCCTCCTTCGGCCCGGCATTCCCGCCCAAAACCGACCGACGCCCCCTTCCTGGCTCCGACATCCTCACCCCATGAAACTTCTTCTCTCGGGGCCCCCGACCCCGCGCTTTCTCGCCAAAAACACCGACCGACCCCCCCCCCATCGCCCCCCCCCCCCCCTGCGGCCCGGCACCCCCGCCCAAAACCAACTGACACCCCCGCCCTCGCCCCCCCCAGCGGCCCGGCGCCCCCGCGCTCTTGGGATCCCCCCCGCGATTTCTCTCCCCAAACCGACCGACACCCCCCTCCTCGCCCCCTCTCCTCGCCCTCCCACCCTCGGCCCGGCGCCCCCGCCCGTAACCGACCGACGCCCCCTCCTGGCCCTCCTCCTCGCCACCCCCCCTTCGGCCCAGCACCCCCGCCCAAAACCGATCGACGCCCCCCTCCTGTCAGGAAGGCTCTTCTTTGAGGATCCCCCACCCCGCGATGTCTCGACCAAAACCGAACGACGCCCCCCTCATCGCCCCCCTCCTCGCCCCACCCCCCGCCCCCCTCCGCGCCTCTCTCGCCGGCCCGACACCCCGCGCAAAACCAACCTCCCCCTCGCGCCCCCCCCTCGGCCCGGCACCCCCCGTCCAAAACCGACCGACGCCCCCCTCCTGGCCACCGCATCCTCACCTTATGAAACCCGTTCTCTTAAGATCCCCCACACACAACCGACCGACCTCCCTCCCAGGCCCCCCCCTCGCGGCCCGGCACCCCCACGCAGAACCGACCGACGCCCCCCTCCTGGCCCCGACATCCCCACCCCACGAAACCTCTTCTCTTGGGGCCCACCACCCCGCGATTTCTCACCCCAAACCGACCGACGCCCCCCTCGTCGCCCCCGCCCTCGCCCCCGCCCTCGCCCCCCTCCTCGGCCCGTCCCCTGAGGCTCTTTTCCGGCTTTCTTTTGGGGATCCTGCTAAAAGAAACGCGACATGTCATATCGAACGCAATTTTGTAGGGATCTGCGATAGAATCCTGGATCCTGCTAAAAAGCGCGGAGATTTGTAGGATTCCGGCTTTCCGGCTTTCTTGTGTTATAAAAATACATACATACATACATACATACATACATATAATACATACATACATACATACATACATACATACATACATACATACATACATACATACTACATACATGCATGCATGCATACATACATACATACATACATACATACATACATTACATATACACATAAGCACAGCAACTATACAAATATGTGAGTATATATATATATGACATAAGTATACATATGTGTATATACATACATATATGTATGTATATATACATATGTGTGTGAGTGTGTGCGTGCGTATGTTTATGTATCGGATGACATTCGCTCCTCGCAGCTCCTCGATCCCCCCTGGCGCTTGGCTCTCAGCGCCGCTCCCCCTGGCGGCCCTCGGGGCCGCCCTTCCATATGCCCGCGGCCGTGCTGGCCGCCGTCGTCGCGGCGCTGGCTGTCTGGTGCCGCGCTGCGCGCATGGGGGGCGCGCGCGGCCAGCGTCAGATGGCCAAATCCAGCCGTGGCGACGATAGTTCGGACCAGGTGTTCGGAAGGGGTCCAGCCGTGGCGACGATTCGAGATGCGCGCTCCGACCAAAAATTCGAAAATGATCCAGCCGCGGCGACGATTTGAGATGCGCGTTCAGACTAGGATATTTGATCCAGTGGGATCCAACCGTGGCGACGAATCGATGAGCGCGTTTAGGCTTCGGAGGGCGCCCAGCCGCGGCGACGATTCGAAATGCGCGTTGAGATCGGATCGGATTGGGCCCAGCTGTGCAGACGAACCGAACGGAGTGAAACAACGCATGAGCATAAACGCTTGGATGTCCGCTCGGATTGCTTGTTTCGGCGCTCGCCGTGCATCCCAGTCAGCCGTGCAACGTGACAAATGGGGTCTGTCATATGACAGACCCGTCTGTCATATGACATACCCGTCTGTCATATGACAGACCCGTCTGTCATATGACAGACTGGCGGCGCGTCGCGCGCCGCACTGAGAAATCCGAGCTGACCCCCGAACGTTTATGTTCATGCCATTATCGTGGTACGCGTGCGGATCGCCCAACCCCTCTCCGAGAAATAAAAGAAACCATGATAAGTGGTTGAAGAAGGCGAACATCCAGAAACTATAGAACATATGGGGAATATTGGGAGGTGTGTGTTCATGTGTGTGCCCCTGGGCCCGCTCGCACCATTCCACAAAAGGCTCCGCGAGGGCCGCGAGGCGCTCTGTGGGCTCCTGGGGGGGTATCCTGAGCCCACCGCGCTCCCCATCCACGTTCACGCCGCTCGTTGAAAGTATCTCTGTTTGGACCTTAAGATCCCAATACATGTCACGTGTCGTATTACTTTGAATATCGATATGGTGTGGTTGTCATTGTTATTGTTGCGTGTGATCAGCCTTTATACTTCATGTGTCCACCTTTCTACTTTCATGTGTCTACCTACCTATTCTTATTGCTGGTGGGTACGTACCCTCCCCCTGGGCCTCGTCCGCACCATCCCCCTCGTTCGGTCCCGCGGGAATGCCGTGGCGCGAAATCGCAGTCGAAGATGGCGGTCCAGGCGCCCGAGGAACTACCAGGGGTGAGGGTTTGTCAGCCCGCGCTGCGAGGGCCAGCCACTACCATACTGCCTGACATCGTCCAAGGCGGCGGAATGCAACGCCCACGTTGCAGTGCACTCACAATTCGCGCGGCGGCCGCGACACCCTGGATTGCACGGCCCGACTGGTCAGTATCCGATGCCACCGCCGTGCAAAATGAAAGGCCGTATTGTAGTGGATGACTCTCGCAGCGCGGGCACGGCTAACCCCTCATATGGGGTCAAGAAGCCCAGGGGATATCCAGGGGTGCACCCCTGGAAATATCCTGGGCTTCTTGATCCCATCTTCGTCGATTTCGCGACGTCGCATTCCCGCGGGACCGAATGCCAGTCCTGGGCTCAGGGGTGGCATTGGATAAACACTGAGATGCCCACGGCGCAATGCACTCGCAATTGGCACATCGGCCGCGACACCCTGGATTACACGGCCCGGCGTTTCGACATTCGATGCCACCGCCTCGTTATCCAATGCCACCGCTGAGCTCAGGACTGCAAGTCTCTGATATTGCTAGGCGCCTCGACCGAGCGATATCTCCAGCGGTCTGCAACCGCTCCTCGGGCCGCCCGCGCATCTCGCACGGCTACGGCCTATGCACCTACGAGTCTGCGACCCAGCCGCCGCCGTCGCCAGGCCCTTCACTCACCGCCGTCAGCAGGCCCGTCAGCGGGCCCGTCAGCAGGCCCGTCATCAGGCCCGTCATCAGGCCCGTCAGCAGGCCCGCCAGCAGGCCCGTCAGCAGCAGGCCCGTCAGCAGCAGGTCCGTCAGCAGCACGCCCGTCATCAGCAGGCCCGTCAGCAGCGCCGTCAGCAGGCCCCTCGGCATGCCCATCATCAGGCCCGTCAGCAGGCCCATCATCAGCAGGCCCGTCGCGCGCCGCCTTGGCGATCGCCCTCACGGCCTTCATGTCCTCATCCGAGACCTTGGCGGGGTCGTTGACAGATCCGACGATGTCCATCACCTGCGTCCTAATCATGTCGATGATCGTCGTAGCCCGCTCACGTGCGTTCTCGCCGCCGACCTCGAGAATCTGTTTCTTCTTGGGGCGGCCCAGGGCTCTCATGAATACGGCGACCTTGCCGTTGTGGCCGTTCGCAAGGATGAGCTCAATCTGCGTGTCATCCTCAGGGGTGCGGTGGATTTACAGCCTCCTTCGCCCCCCATCCCTCGCTCTCTTGCACTCCTCCCTCGCTCCATGTCCCTCCCTCCTCCGCCCCTCGCTTCCCGTCTTTCACTCCCCTCCATTTACTCACCGTCCCTCACTCCACCCTGTCCCTACATCCCTCATGCCTCCTTTCCTCCACGACCCACTTTCCCCCTCGTTAGTCACGAGGGGGCGAGGGCGGTGCTGGGCGCGGGCCCCCCCAGAGCGCGGGGGCGCGCAGGAGAGAGAGGATCTGGAGGACGAGGATGAAGAGGGGGGGCGAGGATGATGACGAGGAGAGCGATGAGTACGGGGAGGGATATGATGCGGAGGAGGCGGACACGAGGAGGATGTTTGGTTTGCGACGCGTCCTCCGCGGCGCCATCGGCTGGTTCTCCTGCTGCATCGGCTGCGCCTGCTGCTGGTGCTGGTACTGCACCCGCTGCGTCGCCTGGTACTGCGCCCGCTGCTGGTGGTGGTGCTGCTGCTGCTGCTGCCGCTGGCTTGGACATCATCGCTGGCCTCTTCGATGCGGCAGCCTTCTTGCCAGCCTTACCAGCCGGCTTCTTGCTGACGGGCTTCGACGGCTGCACATCCTCCGCCTCCTCTGCATCCGCTGCATCTGCTTCCTCATCTTCGGGAGCTTCGGCCGCGTCCTCATGCTCCTCCTCATCCTCCTCCTCCTCCTCATCATCCTCGCCCTGGGCATCTGCCTCGTCACCTTCGCTGTCGTCCTCGCCCGCCTTGCGCTTCTTGAGCTGCGCCTTCCCTTTGGCCTTGGCCTTGCCTTTGGCCTTCGCCTTTGCCTTCGCCTTCCCTTTGGCACTGGTGGCCTTCCCTTTGGCCTTGCTCTTGCCCGCGGGCTTCGGCTGCGCCTTGGGGGGGCGCTTGAGCTTCCCGTCGTCTCCGAGCCAGTCGGCCGACAGCTCCGACTCCCACGAGTACGGCTCGCCGTCGGCGCCCTTCACGGAGTCCCACACGCCCATCACGAAGCCGTCACCACTCACCCGAAACCATTCAGCTTCTCTGGCCGAGCCGTTGGAGAGCACGAGCTGGATGGCACGGCCATCGAAGTGGCAGAAGATCGGATGATTGTCCTCGTCGTCATCGTCGCCGTCGGAGTCCAGGACCGACGAGCTCCCGAAGCCGGCGCCCGTCTGAGGAGGGCTTGTGAACAGCTCGGGAACCCTGTAGTTGATGAACGGGTTCTGGACTGGCTCCTGCTGCGCTGCTGATCTGCTGGGCTTGGCGGGCGGCGACGGCGAGGGCCTCGAGATCAGCGACAGCATCGACCTCAGCTCGGGCTGCGCTTTCTCGATCGCAGTGCTGGTGAGCTCCTCGGATTACGCAAACTATCCGCACGGCGCGCAGGGCGACAGACGACGTCTGTCATATGACAAACGGAACTGTCATATGACAGACGTTGTCTGTCACCCTGCGCGCTGGCAAGTCGATCAGACACGGCACGATCGGCCGCGATATCGCACCCGCTCCTTCTTCTTGATCCTCAGGTGCGACAACATGACGCGGGTCTTGAGCGCCCAGTAGTCGTGGAGCCCGTCGACGGGGTAGCCCGTCGCCCTGGAGATCGCCCTCACCCTCGTCACGTTCTCCGCCGGCGCCTTCATGATGCCGTAGAAGCCCTTGGCGACGTCGATGTGGTCGAAGAACCCGCCGCGCGGGTCGAGACGCAGCAGGCCATCCAACCACGATGCGTGCTCGCACAGGCCGTCAACGTCCATGCCGACGCGCATGTCGCTGGAGGCGTATGCCACGCCGTGGTTGCTGCCGAGGATCTTGTCGGCGTGCGGCCTCAGCGCATCCTGAGCGTTCCGACGACATCGGTGCGATACAACTGAGGAGAGATGAGGTCGGAGCGAAGAGTGGAGGGGATGCGGATGAGAGGCGGAGTGAGGAGTGAGGCGGACGGAGTGAGGAGTGAGGCGGACGGAGTGAGGCGGACGGAGTGAGGAGTGAGGAGTGATGGACGAATAAGAGTCGGGGGAGGAGGGACAAAGAGCGGAAGGTTGAGAGTGATTCCTCATATTCCATCCTCCTCCTTCCTCCTTCGTTCTACGTTTCCTCCTCTTCCTCATCCGTCTTCCTCATCCTCATCCTCATCTTCCTCTTCCTCATCCTTCTAACTGGAAGGGCGGTGTGGGTCGGCTTTTCCCCGACGTCCGTGATCGCTTCGTGCGCCTCGCCATCGCGAGGCTTCCAGTTCCGCGTGCGGCCCATAACAGGGCCAGAAAAAAAACAAAAAAAAGCTCGGGCGCTGGGAGCGGCCCATGACAGGGCCGAAACCTGCGTTCGAGAGCGGTCGCGGCGAGGGGGCGATGGGAGGGAAGGGGGGATGGTCGGAGCCACAGCTCGAACGCATGGGCGAGAGTAGGGGGCAGGGGTCGGCGGTGCCAGCCAGGTGCACGACGTCGACTCGAGCTCCAAGAGTTTACGGCAGAACGGTGCAGCAGGCATTGATCCTGCTCATCTCCCACTCTTCCTCCTCACCCTTCTCGCCGCCCCATCCTCCCAGGCAGCCCAGCTCGAGAGCAACGCTGGGAGGTGCTTGGACATCGTGCACGTGTTTTGCGGATCTGGTGGTATACACAATGCCGCGCTGAAGCGCGGGCTCGACACCTGGCAGTTCGGCCAGCACCTGGACCCTGGGCACGACGTCACGACGGTGGACGGCTTCCTCGTTCTGCTCGACCATTTGCTCCAGGTCACCATCCCACCCTCTACCCTCCGCCCTCCAGCCCCATGCCTCCACCGCCCTGCACCCTGCACCCTGCGCCCTCCACCCTCTACCCTCCGACACATCCCACCCTCCGCCATCCACCATCGTCTTCAGCCATCCACCCTCGACCATCTGTCCTCCACCCTCCACCTTCCACCCTCCGCCCTGTACCACCCCCTACCATCCACCATCCACCCTCCACCATCCACCCTCCACCGCCGTCCACCTTCCACCACCCTCCACGCGGTCCTCTGTCTCTCGCCCTGGGGGAGGTGCGTGAGAATGGCCTTGTGTGGGTGTCTCCCGATTGTGCGAGCTGGGGCTTCGAATCTACCCACGAGGCGGAGAGAACGAGGAATTGGCGCGCCTCGACCCAAGACGTCGAAGCACGCTTGGCCATGGAACCACCGCCAGGCATCGAGGGCAAGCAGGCGAACCCCGACGTGCGGCGTGGCAACAAGATTGCCAGAATCACTGCATTTATAATTCGAGTGTGCCACGCCCGCAACGTTTGGACCACGCTAGAGAACAACGGTAAGAGTTGCATGTTCGCATACCCTACCATCGCCCCCACGCTCCGAGACCTGAACTTATATGCGACGGAGGCCCACTCGTGTATGTTTAGGTGCAGCGGGCAGCAAGCAACGACTGTACCCAGGATGACGATCCGAATGTGGAGTTCGTGCTGGTGGATTGTGGCTGCTGGATTATCGTGCAAGTGCGGTGTCAGACATCGACGGGTCAAAGAGGAGAGCATGGGCATTCGTCTAGAGCACTGTGGATCGCATGACTGAGAGCGCGGCAATGTCTGGTCGGGCCCAGCCCCGTTGGGGCCGACGTAGTTTTCCGTCCGCCCGCGCTCGGTCATGCGAAACACGTGCTCTGAGCGAATGGCCCTGCTCTCCGTAGGAGGGCGAGTTATGGTCACCAGGCGAGAAGTATGCATTCTACTGTGCTTCGCGCTACCCCGCAGCGTTCTGCCTCTACATCGTGGACTGCTTCATCCGCTGCCGTCGCATGGACTGGCCACGAGGCATGCCGAACCTTCCGAGCGGGCACAGCGAGGCTTTCAAATCTTTACACACGCCCCCATCTATAGATGCATGTATGAACACATATGGTATCGCAGTCCCCCATCAACCTCACTCATCACATCATACACCTCCATCCACCGCCTCGTCACCACACCTCCCCAACCTCCACGCCAATAACCGTAATGACTATCAATCAGCTGTCCGACAGACCATTCACGTGATCTACGGGGTCTGTCATTGACAGACGCGTCTGTCATATGACAGACCCGTCTGTCATATGACAGACCCGTCTGTCATATGACAGACCCGTCTGTCATATGACAGACCTGTCTGTCATATGACAGGCCCGTCTGTCATATGACATGCTGTCTGTGCGTTGCGCGGCAGACCGAGTGAGCGATACGCTGATGAAGTGCCGATTCCACCAGGCATCTCATCACGCACGCCGAGGTTCGAGTGCTGGCCGCCATTGTGAGCAGCATCGCGATTCCGCAGGGGGTGCCCACTGTCAGCGAGGAGGCGCAATGCGAGATGCAGCCGATAGAGGTCGAATGGGATGGAGCTCATATCCATGACCCCTCCACCTCAGCCCACCACCCCCCCGCTCATCCGTCCCCTGCCGCCATGCCCCCCTCCCCCACACCCGCACCCATCCACCCAATCATTCTCTCACTCCCACACCTCCACGCTACAGCGTTCATTTCCTCCTCGTCCAATCTTCTTTAGTTTTATGTGCGTTGCATGGTTGCGCACCGTTCGTAGGTGCAAGCACCCACCACCCGAAAGGGCAAGGTCCGCGCGGGCAGGGCCCGCGCGGGCAAGTCAGCACCAGCGGCATCGTCGCCCGCATCATCAGCAACATCGGCGACGCAAACATCGCTGAGGAGGTGGATGAAGCCAGGGCTGCATCCCGAGCTGGCGCCTGGCTCACAGGGGGCCGCCGCCACGCAGGAGGACTCGAGCGATGAGTCTGATGAGCGGCCGCTCGTGTCGACGCCGCTCACGGTGACGCCGATCAAGAAGCAGAAGATCAGCACCAGCCCGATCAGCTGCAACAGCAGCCCCGCTGGCGGCAAGGGCGACACGCTGGCCGACCTGATCGGGTCAGCCCTTGACGTTCCAGACCCGAGCCCTCTGCGTCCTGGCCAGTGGCGGTGCCCGCTCTGCGACAGCGTCTACAGCGTGGACCACCATGATTGCTGCGTCCAGTGCATGTGCGACCCGTCGGGCTTCCTCATCGAGAGCTCGTCGAGGGTACACACCGTCCTCCAGCATGGCTCGTTGTTCGGCGGATTTCCACGCGGGACGCGTGATGGGCAAACGATAAAAAACCATCCTCATCCACCCCGTCTTTCTCCTCCACCCCTCTCCACCATGCTTCGCTCACACATTCCTCCAGCTCCACCGTGATCCACCCGCTCCGCCTCCCCCGATCACACTTGACCAGATATCGCACCCCGACCACCCTGCGGGCCTGGGCCTCCCGCGCCCTCATCGTGCCCCCCCTCGCCAGGACAGCGATGTTGCCTGGCTGGTCGACGAGCCCATCTCCGTGCACGCGCCCCAGGAGCTCTAGGCCAGAAGGGAGAACGCGCGCGAGCCACATTACCATGGGAAAGGCATTCCAGGGGCCGCGACCTCCAGCATCGGGGAAACATCATGAATGGGGAGCGTGGGGCTCCAGGGGCCTGGGGCCTCCAAGGGCCCCAAGGGGCAGTTTCCGTGGCCTGGGGCCTCCAAGGGCTCCAGGGGCCTCCAAAGAATTCCATGGGCCCAGGCACCTCGCGTGGCTTGCGCACGTTCCCCCCAGCTACGTGAACCCGTTCATCAACTTCAGGGAGCAGCCCACGGCTGCGTCGGACCCGCCCTCGGATTGATCCGACGGCCCGCGGTGGTCTCTAGGTGCATCGAGAGGCCCAACGGGCCATCGACTGCGTCGGCCGACAGCCCGCGGAGATCTCCATGGGCCTCGAGAGGCCTGAGAAGCAATCGACTGCGTCGACAGACGGCCAGCGGGGATCTCTAGGGGGCCTCGAGAGGCTTGACCATCAGTCGGCTTCACCTACATACAATTCGAATCCTTCGCTCCGAGGGCGCTGGATCCCGAGTGCCGCTTTAGCTTTTTTTGTTTCCCGAAGGGGCGGCTTCGCGCGGCTTGTTTTTTTTTTTATCCGAAGGGGGCCTCGGGGGGCAAAAAACAGCTACCGACAGACAAATGACAGACAAATGACAGATCTGTCATTTGTCTGTCACCCCCACAAACGCACGATACATATATCAGTTTTTGAACCCCCAGAAATGACAGACATATGACAGATCTGTCAGTGTCTGTCAGGGTCAGAAAACACTGTAAAAACACAGCTAAAGTGAGTCTGTCAGTGTCTGTCATTTGTCTGTCATTTGTCTGTCAGTGTCTGTCACCTACAAGTACAGAGTTTTCATGAATGTATCCGGCAGAACCACTGGTGACAGACAAATGCCGGACAAATGACAGACTAATCTGAACCTTCGGAGCGGGGGCTGAGTGTCTCGGCTGCGCGTCGGCGAGCAGCCAGATTGCTCGGTGGACGCGCGCTGGCCGCAGTTGGCGGCGCCGCGGCGGATGCGTGGTGGCTTCGCGCCACGCTTGGAAACGTTCTCTGTCAGCCCCTCTCACCTACCTCAACCTCACCCCCCACCCCTCGGGAGCCTGGTGGACCTGGTGACTTCCCGCAGGGGGCGCGAAGATGATCGCATTGCGCGCTTTGCGGTTTAGACAGGGGGGTCGCCCTCCTCGGGGGACGCGGGAGAGCGCGAAGATCATCGCGCGTCGCGCTTCTCGGTCGGGGCAGGAGGGTCGCCCTCCTCGGGGGGCGGCGGGGGAGCGCGAAGATAAGCGCGCTCGGCGCTTCGCGCAGCGCAACGCGCGAGCCTCGGCGCCCCAAGTCCGATGCCGAAGTTGGCACCTGATCGTGAATCAGGGGGTCACGGGATGTCTGGGGGT